TTTTATACAAAGTATGAAGCTGATTGGTCAGTTCTTGTCACGTGACTTGCGATGCACCGCATGCATGTCACTCCCAATATGCATGCAAGAAAAGAAATAGCAAACTTGCACATCCGAAAGTCACGACTTGTCAACAGCCCTTAGTTAATAGCCACAGCTATAGGTAATCCAGTGTGTGTAGATATTAGCCTCAGCGTACAAGCTCGGAACTTTAAACTAGCACAGTTGGCAGAACTGTGAAAAAGAAAAAGAATTTTGTTCCGAGCAGAAATGCAGTGTAAAGAAGTCTTTACGATTAATTAACAGTTACAAATACAAACACAGTTAATAGTGAAATTGGTTAATCGTTGCATCTCTACAGGAGACACATAGCACGGACACTCTTGACTATTCTGGAGGTCATTAATAATATAATAACACTAATACTGAAACGGTTAAGGTGTTTTAGAATGACCAAAACAACTTTTCAGATGTTTTATAATGTGCTCATCCTGCTGGTTTGTCCGTTCACACACATTTTTATCACCACATAATCTCTTATAACAAAATCACATGGCTTTCTTTTAAAGCGCATACTGGAATTTGTTTAGTAAAATGTTTCCATCGTAGTTCATGTGCATCTTATCTTCTCGAATAAAAGGTTTATCCTACTCATACTGTACGTTTTTTATGTGGATTTTTAAAACTTATGCCAATCATGGCTTTCCATTAAGCGTTTTTTTATATGCATATCTAAAATGCACATAAAAATTGGTGGATGTAAACAAAGCTAGTGTCACAGGTGGTTGTGTAAGCATTTCACCGTTTTTCATACTGTGTATGACTCTAAATGTGACAAACACAATTTGAATTTGAATAATCAGTCCTAAATGTTAAGCATGGTTTATACTTCTGCATCAAGTGATTGGCGTGACCCATGGCTCATGCCTTGTTCGTTGTCGTGCATTTATACTTCTGCGTGCTGTTTGTGTTGCTTTGCATTAACACCTCCAAAACACTAGCATTTTATGCTCTTCTGTGTCGAGTTTCTTCGCTGGCATGTTTTTGCTGAGCACTACCTTAATGTAAAAATAGCTCAAACTTTTGAAGGCGGGAACCAGAGGACGTGCAACAACAATAATCATAAGGTAAACACAAAACAAAACTTTTTATCTGGAGCTTCTTCACGGAACTGCACACTTGTAAAGACTCTCTCAAATGGGTTCGCCCACAATCACCAGCGATACCAAGCCGACCAATCACAGTGCTTGCGCTACATGTCGCTGTGACATGTGGTTACAATTTTTGAGAGGTGCGCGTCAGAATCAGCCACAGTGAGGGCTATGTGTCCACGCGCAGGCTGCGCCAGAACATATCCGAGCACTTGACGCAGAAGTATAAATCAGCCTTTAGTCATTTCGCTCTAAAATTTTCAATAAATGAGCCAATTACAAAAATAGATTAAAACAGTAACACTGAATTACTCAAATTTAAAGTAGAAAACTAATAGTAAAACATACTTTGATCAGCTTTTAGATTACATAAATTAAAGACATAAAAGGAAAGGTGAATGACAACAAAAGACGAAAAATTCCTTTAAACTACATGTAAAAAGTATTTAATAACGTAGAAAAATTGACACACAATCTGTTTTAACCTTTAATTTTTGTTTTACAGAGACATCCTAAACTTTGTTTACATGCAGATGCTCATCAGACCCCTGAAGCAACAGAAATATGTGAAGTGCTATGCAATACTACCATTACAGGGTCAAAGGTCACTTCAAAGATCCTTAACAGATCTAAAGAGGATTGCTTTGAGCAACAGGATTAAAAGAAGTCTAAGCCAACTCCAATTAGATCAGGAAAGCACGGGTGATCCTCCTACCCACAAGGTCAAAAGAGTGATCGGACAGAAAAGACACAAAAGATGTTGTGCATGTACAGTATATGTGTGGTAAACAACTCAAGCTCAACTAAAATATGTGCCTCAGTGTACTTTTGCGAAACCTAAAATACAAAAAATATACATTGAAATACAAAAAAAAAAAAAACGGATTGTGTACATTAAACGTTTCAGATGACAAATCCAGAGGGTGCCGTCTGCATCTTTACAAATCTGAAATATGTTAATTGGGGTACGTTTTATTGTATGTACAGTAGATACACATCCATCATGGAAGTCACAAAGATCACCCTGCGAACAATTTATGTAAACTGTTCGTTAAACCCAAGCAAAAGTGTTTTCAAAAGCATTCGTAAGAGAAAACTGCATAATTCTCTTGAACAGCTCTTGCAATTATCTCTCATTTGAGATCGGCTCTATGATGCTACTTTCACTTTTTATAAATAAAAATAATTAAAATATGGGAGAAATACTGAAGAATACTTAAACCAGATCATAGCAAGATATACAATGGTAAAATAGAGGAGAAAACCGGCAAAAACAAGAGGGTTGACAGGTATGGCATTGCGCAAGAAACATTTGTAAGCTGTAAAATCCCACAACTGACTAACCAGAGTCATTTATATCAAAGAATCATGTAATAATAAAGTAAAATATTCAAGAATGACATTTTATAGGTCAAAAACGTCAACACAATTTTCACAAACTGACCTTAATATCTAATATCTAATGTCTAACATAACATTTTTTAACAGACATTCTTCTTTCTCATTGGGTTATCGTAACCTATTGAGTCAAATATGAACAAACACCATTGGGTTAAGAAGAGCAATTTAAATGTAACTGTAAAATTAACCCAATGCTGGATTTGTCCATATTAGGGTTACAAAAACCCAGCATTTTTTACCTGTAGCGCAATAACAAATGCCACATAGCCTAAACATCCACTATTATACCGTATTTAAGCACTGCCAAAAAACCCCCGAGCAATAATAAAGTGTGGAGTAGCTGGCAGTGCAGTCCCGGAGGCACAGAGCCAAGCCTCAAGCTCTCAGGTTTGGCGGCGATCACTGAATCCTAACAGTTGGTCTAATAAAGCACACTCATGCTCCTTCCTCAAATCTAATGTGCAGTTTGATTTGGCAAAAGCGCAGACGTTTCTTTTTACACTTGACAAAAGCAACCTTCATGGGTCTGCAGGAAGCCAGACCGAGGAGCTAACATTTAGAGACAATTTCGTTCGATTTCGGTATTTATCGAGCATCATTTATGAAAGATGGTCAATCTGTTTACTTTCACACATGTGGAGAGGCCATCAGACGGACGTTTATGGCTCTTTTGTTGCTACTGACCACACACACACACACACACATATACATATACATATACATATACACTCACTGGCCACTTTATTAGGTAAACCTTACTAGTACCGTGTTGGACACCCTTTACCTTCAGAAACTGCTTTAATCCTTTGTCCGTACTGACATGATGGCATCACACAGTTGCTGCAGATTTGTCGACTGCACATCCCTATCCTGCTGGAAGTAGCCATCAGAAGATGGGTACACTGTGGTTATGAAGGAACGGACATGGTCAGCAACAATACTCAAGTAGGCTGTGGTGTTGACACGATGCTCGATTGGTACTAAGGGGCACAAAGTGTGCCAATAAAATATCCCCCACACCATTACACCACCACAGTTAACCATTAATACAAGGCAGGATGGATTGATTCATGCTTTCATGTTGATGACGCCAAATTCTGACGCTACCATCTGAATGTCGCAGCAGAAACCGAGACTCATCAGACCAGGCAACATTTTTAAAATCTTCTATTGTCTAATTTTGGTGAGCCTGTGCAAATTATTGCCTCAGTTTCCTGTTCTTAGCTGACAGGAGTGGCACCCAGTGTGGTCTTCTGCTGCTGTAGCCCATCCACCTCAAGGTTGGACGTGTTGTGCATTCAGAGGTGCTCTTCTGCATACCTCGGTTGTAACGAGTGGTTATTTGAGGTACTTTTGCCTGTCTGTTGTCTGGCCATTATTCTCTGACCTCTGGCATCAACAATGCATTTACGCCCACAGATTTGCCACTCACTGGATATTTCCTGTTTTTCTGACCATTCTCTATAAACCCTAGAGATGATTATGCGTGAAAATCCCAGTAGATTTGCAGTTTTTGAAATACTCAGACCAGCTCGTCTGGCATCAACAACCATGCCCCGCCATAAAAATATATTTACATATACTCATATACAGCACTGTTGCCTCAGAGCAACAATGTTGCTGGTTCGAGTTCTGGCATGGGCCAGTTAGAATTTCTGTGTGGAGTTTGCATGTTCTTCCTGTGTTGGCGTGGGTTTCCTCTGGGTGCTCCAGTTTCCTCCACAGTCCAAAGACATGCGGTACAGGTAAATTGGCTAGGCTAAATTGTCCATAGTGTATGAGTGTGTGTGTGTGTATGTGTATGTGTGTGTGTGTTGGTGTTTCCCAGAGATGGGTTGTGGCTGGAAGTTGGCGGTTCATTCCGCTGAGGTGACCATGGATTAATAAAGGGACTAAGCCGACAAGAAAATGAATGAATGAATAACTAGATTCATATGTTCTGTGCGATTCTCTGACATTATACACACGCTACCATATGAAAGAAAGGCATACTGAACATTGGTTAAAGTCGACCTTAAAAAAATTAACCATGTTTTTTAGTATATTAGTAACAGTGTATAACCTTGCTGTTCAGCGTACTGATTACAAGCTATCCACAGTTCTAATAGTAATACAAATACACTTATTTTAGCCAAACCATGGTTAATGTGTGGTTAACTTGTTTTAAAATATTATTTGTACTAAAAATTAGGTTAATTCCCACACTGAACGTGACTACTCTCCAATAAATTGCGCAGTTTCAAACAACTTTTTACTTTTTTCCAAGCATCACCGACAACAAAAACACGAGTGTTGGTGACGTCACACACCCGCGCGTCACTCAAGTGATGTTTTCAATCAGAAAACATTAGCGAATTAAATCGATGCGAAATTGCCGTACTTTATCACTGAAAAGAAAACAGCCAGCACGCGTTTGACTCAATATTGCAACATTAAAAGAGCTATTACCTTTAGCCGGGTGTTTTCCGAGTTGTAGAAAGACAAAAAGAAGCGTAAAGCGGAGGAAAGCGGTCAGACAGCGGCAGGTTTCTTGTGTTTTATTCTCGCGAGTCATTGCCGGTGTCGTGCACGCGCTGCTGGATGATCAGATCTCCGGGCTCCTCCTTCCTCCGACATCAGTGCCCTTCACTAACCAAAAGCCTCGCACACATTGATCCGGGCTCCTGTGACAGCAGATCATACCAGGAGCACCGCATATACACCAGAAACAATTACACAACATCACACAGGTGAAGTGTTATGAAGATCAACTTTTCATTAAATTATAATCTACACTCAAAATAATTCAATGGATTTAGCTACACAGTTATTTTAAGTTATGTGGTTGCAAACAAATCTGTTTGACTTAAATTGGGTTGAACATCACTAAATGTAATTTGTTTGTTTAAATTTATCCAATATAAATTGTTGGCGCAAAAACATTTGTAAATCCAATGAACATTTTCGGTCTATCTATCTATCTATCTATCTATCTATCTATCTATCTATCTATCTATCTATCTATCTATCTATCTATCTATCTATATCTATCTATCTATCTATCTATCTATCTATCTATCTATCTATCTATCTATCTATCTGTCGGTTCTTCAAAATATAAAAAAAATAATATTTTAAAGAACATATTCAATATTCATTGTTATTTAAGCACGAATAGTATGTGTTTGTGTGTCTATATACACATACACACTCTCACACACACACACACACACTCTCTCTCTCACACACACACACACACACACACACACACACACACACACACACACACACACACACACATATATATATATATATATATATATATATATATATATATATATATATATATATATATATATATATATATATGTGTGTGTGTGTGTGTGTGTGTGTGTGTGTGTGTGTGTGTGTGTGTGTGTGTGTGTGTGTGTGTGTGTGTGTGTGTGTATGTG